TCAGATCCAAAACACTGGTGCAGGGCCTTCTTCAAAACAGATATAAAGTGTGATATTGTTGATAATAATATGTGTGAAGTCTTCAATGGTTTATTAGTGGATGCAAGACAAAAAGCCATAATTTCAACGAATCAAGATTTGAGGATATTTTGTGGAAAAGGATTGTTGCAAGAAGAGGATTGGTTGAGTCCAAGTTTGTTGATGATTTTGGTCCTAGAATATGGGAAAAAATTGTAGCTAATGTCCATGGAAGCAAGAGGTGTAGATTAATTTGGCTTGGTGGAAATAACTATGAAGTAATGAAAGATGGAACAAATGGTTTGTGGTCGACTTGGAGAACAAAAAATGTACTTGTAGGTCTTGGGATGTCATAGGAATTCCATGCAAGCATGTTGTTACTGTTATTAATGCCACCAAGCAAAAGGTGAATGACTATGTAGCCAAATGTTATAAAAAGGAGGCATTCTTAGCCTCTTATCAGTTTGAAGTTCCTACCATTGAAGGAATGAGTCAATGGAAAAAAACTGGAATGCCCCTTATTCAACCACCATTGACAAGAAAGATGCCGGGAAGACCAAAAAAGAAGAGAGTTTTAGAAGAATGGGAAGGTCAGACCAAATTGAGTAAAAAAGGGAAATTGATGACTTGTCAAAAGTGTTTCAAAAAGGGCCATAATTCAAGATCATGTAAAGAACAAGGGCCCACAATTTTGAGTGATTATTGGCTACATACATAATTTTGTTTTTTTTTTTTTTTTTTTTTTTTTTTGTTATTGAGGTTGTAATAATGTTTTTTCAATTTTGGTGCATGCCTCTCAAAATGTAAATGGCAATGAGGGACAATTTCCTGTGATTGCAGCATCAAATGCACCAGCAAACACTGAAGAACAGGTTCCAAATTCTGCTACTATCCAACAACCTGTCCAGCAACCTATCCAGCAACCGACTCCTATCCAGCAACCTGTCCAGCAACTCACTCCTGTCCAGCAACTTGCTCTTGTCGAGCAACCCAGCAAGAGAGTCAAGCTCCCCATTATAAGGTCTTTGTCTTCAAAAGTTGCTCAAACCCCTCTTCTTGATGGTACATTATCAAGTGAAGCAACTCTTGTCCCAAGTGAAAGGGATACTCAAACTCTTATCCAACATCCAAAAAAAAATGCTAAGACCCCAGCAAAAAGGCAAAAGCAAAAGGTAATTTATTATTAAATTATTATTGTAGCTTGTACTTTATGTTTCTTATATGTTTATGAAGTGTTATTTTCATAGACATCTTTCCCAGAGTAAAAAAAGGGAAATTTTGGTAACAGAAACAGCATGTTAGTGTTCCTAAGATTCTATTACTTTATCTAATTGTGTCTAAATGTGCCTGTTTTGAAGTTGGTTCTTTGGAAATTAAAGTTAATAATACTAAAGCATTGATGTTAACTATTAATTTATAATTATTGTTGTATATTATGCAATATTCTACTGGTATTTTTGAAGAAATGTAGATTTCAAGATGTCATGAAACTGAATTAGTTTAGTTATTTCAAGTTTTTTTGTTGCATTTTAATTCTAGTTTGTTTTTATGTTTAGTTGTTCTTGGTCAATACTATTCACGGATGCTGTTGACATGGTTGCTACTGTTTTTTTTTTTTTATGCAATATTCTACTGGTATTTTTGAAGAAATGTAGATTTCAAGATGTCATGAAACTGAATTAGTTCAGTTATTTCAAGTTTTTTTGTTGCATTTTAATTCTAGTTTGTTTTTATGTTTAATTGTTCTTGGTC